CATCCCCAACAGGTCGGCGAGGTTACTGGCTATCACATGCTAGAACAAACTGAGCAGGCTTTGATGACAAGGTTAGTGGCGGCTCCGGTCTCCGTCGCAATGTATGCTTCGGATCCGGATTTCCAATTTTATAAATCGGGAGTGTACTCGTCTGGTAAGCTTCGCGCTCGATGCTGATGTGTAAGGAGTATTACCGGTTTTAGATACCTGTAACGGAGGCCTTGATCACGCTGTTGTGGCGGTTGGTTATGGAAACGAAAATGGAGAGGAGTGAAAATATCACGATGTGGGTGTTTACTTCATATTCTTCTATCAGTTACTTCATCGGCAGAAATTCTTGGGGAACGTCCTGGGGTCAAGATGGGTACTTTTACTTGAAGCGAGGAGTTCCCGGTTACGGTGAGCTTCGCCACTCATCATGACATCCACAAAATCGTCCTCTTTAGGTGAATGCACGATACTCGAGTACATGTGTGTTGCGGATCTCAAAACTACAACGTCAGAGACCAGTAATCATAGTACGATCATGATTCGTAAAAAAGCATCTTGAGCATTCATTCTATCCAATCGCTCGCGCTCGTTATGCGAGAACTATTTCTTCCTCTTGGCCGTTCTTTGCTAACGAAGAAGATAGGAACATCAGATGTTAGGGATTCTTCATTTCAAAAAGCTTCACTTCAATAAGTTTTGACAGATTATTCTCACACCTCCTAACTCAAGAATTTCACCATAGAAGCAGCATTGTTGTGTTTGGTAAGGGATAACTCATAACCATAATGGGAAAATATGTACATGATCAACTACATGTGTCAGTTACAACATGGGAATTTTGAGGAAGGTTTGGAAAGTTCTTGTTGGCTTCTGAACATTTCTATCCGAATCATATACAATTTATGTACGAGTTCGGTCCGAACTGTTCGGATACAATATAAACTTCTATAATAAGCGGAGTGACTCTTGGGCTCAGTTGAGGAGAGCGAACATATATTCCAACACTGCTTATGACTGTTAGAGGTCAGCATATCACCATACGCAACGTAGTGGCGTAAACAATAGTGGACTAGTCAGGCCCAGAGAGGGATTGTGCGGATGCTCCAGGAGCACAATACACACACGTGAAACGACAAGCCAGATCACGTGAGGAGTCCACAAGAGGAGTCCACATCACAATTATCACATGCGAGCTCCAATCATTGTGACCCTTTTAGCCTACTCATGCCCTGCGGCATTTGGTCAGATTTCTCTGCCTTTCAAAGACGGCCTCGTCAGTGGAGTGCAATATGACGGGCAATCACTATACTTTGTGATGGATACTGGCCTCAGTGGAACTTACGTTGTGTACAAGGATTGGTATGAGAAGACCTACGGAAAAGGTGCCTGCAAGAGTCTATCAAGTGGCTGCTATTCGTGTCCTGGTCCATGCAACCCTTATGCTGAAAGGAAGGACGTTGCTACATTTGCTGATGGCTCGACGGTGACCTCAGTCTTGCACGAAGGCACTCTCACAATCGGGAAAAACCATCTCAGAATGCAATTCCGTTTGATAATAGGCTTCTCTCCTGGCCCAAAAATGCCAAACGAGAAGCCGCAGAATTATCTTGGTCTCGCTTTTCGTACTGCAACCAGCCCTCAAACGGTTCCAAGACAACTTTTCCTCCACAAACTCATCAAGGAATATGCGGTGTCAGTATGCTCTCCCGGTAGTGTCATGTCGTTCACCGGAACTTTGATACTCGGCGATCCGGAAGGGTTATGTCCCACGAAGTCCGCTGTTACTACGATTCCCATGATCCAACCGCATGAAGCTAGTTACTTCGACTCGGAACTCTCTTCTTATGGTTTGGTGAGCTCTACAGGGACGATTTTCACGCAACCGGTGCAACATGGCTCCGTTATCTACGACACGGGCGTCTTCTCTATTTATACTCCAAAGAATATGTTCGAGACCCTCCTCAACAAGATTGCGTCTTTCTCAGGACCAGGGGTGTACGTCAAGTTCCGCAATGGAGTATGGTTCATAACAGACAAAGGATACAGCTCCTTCCCGACTCTCACATTTTCTGTCGGGGATAATAAGCATCCTTTTGTGATACGGATTCCGCCAAATCAATACGCCATCCAATGTGATGGTAAATGGTGTGTACTTGCACTCATCCCTTACGATGAACCCGAATTTTTACTCGGTCGTCCTTTCTTCTCAACTTATTTTTCATCGTTCAACATGGCCTCGGAAACTGTTAGCATTGCTGAATATGGATCCCCTTGAAATTCCACAGATATCTTCATGCTTTCGAATTTCAAAGCCCCTGGGGATCCCATTATCGGACTTTTCCTTGTCTGATGCTTCTTCTATGTGGTCCGAGCAGTACTATTTCATTGTAAGCCATGCGGCGATAATAGCTCGAATATTCATTGTGATGATGATTTCTCGAGGCTTGACAACTCTGCTATAGTTGTCGCTTATTCAGACGAGGATTCGTGATTGATCCTGTCTACTTTTCTCTTTCGTATACTCAT